CCCCCATATAGAAAACAATATGACATATAGGGCTTATTTTATTATTTATATAGGCCACACACGTGTGTTTGAAACTAAAATATAAGCATTTTCATCGTGGTTTTACTTATTACAATTCATAGGCCTGTTCTTTCACCATCATTAAACATTGAGCCCCTTCTTTTAGGTAAAACGATCTATCTTAAATTTTCTTTCTCAAGTTTGGGAATATTATGTTTTTAAATAACTTAGAAAGCAAAGGAGGGCAAGCACAATCTTTAAGCCTAACAAATGCGCGCGAAGCGCGCGAAAATGTTTTGTGTTTTTAATTCTAATTCCGTCGGAATTGATCAAAACTCCCTAAATGTGAAATTTTTAGAGGAAATTGGCCTACCTCAACAAGAAATGCTCTTATGTTATATATGGCCACACCCGTTTTTTTTAAAACTTAATATAAGCATTTTCCTTATGGCTTTATTTATTACAAACATATTCTTTCAACATCATTACACATTGAGGCCCTTCTTTTAGGTAAAAAGATATATCATAAATTTTCTTTCTTGAGTTTGGGACTATGTGTTATAACTTAGAAGGCAAATGATAGCAAGCACAAGCTTTAACATTAAGAAAACGCGAAAATTTTTTGTTTTTTAAATTCTAATTTCGTCGGAATTGATCAAAACTCCCTAAATGTGCAATTTTTAGAGGAAATTGGCCTACCTCAACAAAATATGCGATTTAAAATTTGAGATTTTCAGGCACTTTCCCGGGTGAAAAGGGCATTCAATGGGGAAAGACTTTCCACAGATGGATATTTTCCCCTTGTCCCTCGTGGTTACGCCACTGCGGAGAATACCTGGCGGCTTAGATCAAATGCGCTATGGACACTTTTTGAAGTGGAGAAGGGGTTGCAGGCCGGGGTATTGTGATATCATTATATCTTCCTTTTTATTATTGTCTTTAGGGCTTGTTTTTCTCTTCTCTTTTTATTATCCTTTTTCCTTTCTTTTTCTTTCTCCTTCCTTCTATTTCCCTCCCTCTCCCCTTTTTCTTTTCTCTTCTTACCCAGCCCGGTACGACGGCTTGGTCAGCCCGGTAAAAACCATCAGGGGGGACAGTCTGCCCCCTCCCCTGTTACGCACTGCTTATAAGATGAATGGGAATATGAATCATGCGGATCTGGAATCAAATCTAGGTGGTGGGGTCAACATTCCTCCCCCGGGAAAATTTCGATTTCTAGATGACGGGAAATGGTGCCTTTTAATTACTCTTATGTTCTTCAAAATTCAAGGTTTTCCCATCTTGAAAACGGTCAGGTAATTTATTCCCATTGTTATTACAGTAAATAGGGCTTATGTGTGTATACATACATAACAATTTAAAAAAAATGAGTAGTTGCATACGAATTTTCCATGAATGATCGATGAATCACAAAAAGAAAGGGGGGTCCGGGGGTTCTTCCCCAAGAAAATTTTGATTCCTAGAAGACGGGAAATGAGCTTTCCCGACTTCTGAGGTGTCTTTTAAATTAAAGTCATTAAAAAATAAGGTCCCCACCCCTTGAAAATGATTCAATTAATCAATGAACTCCAAAGATAAAAGGGGTCCGGGTTCCCCCAGAAAAATTTCGATTTCTAGATGGCGGGAGATGAGCTTAACTGACTTCTGAAATGTCTTTTAAAGTTCTTCAAAATTCAAAGTTTTCCCCTCTTAAAAAAGGTCAGGTAAATTTTTTTCATTTTTTATTTTATGTGTGTATACATACATAAACAAATGAGTAGTTGCATGCGTATTCTTTTTTCCATGAATCGATAAATCCCAAAAAGAAAGGGTGGTCCGGGGGTTCTCCCCCGGGAAAATTTTGATTCCAAGATGGCGAGAATTGAGCTTTCCCGACATTTGAAGTGTGTTTTAATGAATTTTATGTTCTTCAAAATTCTAATTTTCTAATAGCAACAAAAAAAAAATATCAGCTCATGGGTCCTGAAGGTAGGTCTAGAAATCCTTTCTTTTCCCCCTTTTTTTGTTGCCCAAGGGAGGGGTCATGGCCCGACTCCCTCCCCCAGATCCGCCAATGTGAATTGCGAGAAAATGTAACTCGGTCGAGTACTGGATAAACATTCTCTTTCCCATCCTTCTCCTCCTTCTTCCCTCCTTTTTTTTTGCATTTCCGATCATACAAAAATCTCCAGACATTATATATTTTTCGCCAAAAGTGGGGGGAGGCCCCGAAGGGGGGGGGGGGGGGGGGGGCCGGGCCCCCGGCCCCCCGCTTCCGCCGGCCATGATTATGTTTCAATGTTTTAAGGTTTTTGAAGACTGCTTAATTTAACATGGAAGGTGATTTTTGAAAGGGTTGATCTGTAGGGAGGAAGATACGACAGAAGTGAATGTATTTTTCTATTTAACTGAAACATGAAGATACCTTTGTTTAAATTGATACGGTCGGATACATTGAAAGATTCTCTTTTAGTGAAATAAATGTGATGGCGAGCAAGCAGCTGGTAGACCTTTTGGTATTTAAACATTAAATAATGCAATTATAAAAAATATGCATATAAAGTAATTAAACATTATCAAACATTGTATTCGCTCAGAGAATATACATAGGAGGATTCGGCGTAATCCACGGAAGGGAGGAGGAAACAATAATAATAAGAAGTCTAAGAATGGGAAAAGCTGTAGCAATGCAAGATCACGGAATGGAAATCTGTTAAAGAATACGGAAAGCGACAACTGCGTTGATGAAATGACCACTATCACTATAACCTCCACACCGTTGAGCACTACCACATTAAGCACTACCTCTTTGAGCACAACCTCATTGACCACTACCACTGGCACCAACTCTTTGAGCACAGTCCATTTGAGCAACAAGACGTCCTCAACAATGTTCTTTGTTTTACAAAATACAGCCTCTGTTACCAACAGACCTGACGTCACAGAAGAGTCCCTGGTCAACATATCTACCTGGATAGACAGTCAAACAATGTTTATACAGAATTCTGATCCAGTGGTAATTATATATTTTCATTATCCTCTTGAAATTCAATAAGATTAATCAACAATCAACAAACTATTAAATTTACATACAGTTATGGTTTGAAATGTAATACATATTATTCAAATATTTTGTTTGCAGGCTGTATTTGGAACATGCAATGATGTTTTGAAACGAATAAAC